CAGGACTCAGTACCATGGTCTGGTGGTCCGGTGTCCTCTGCATCTTTGTAGTGTGGAACCAAGTGACTGTACAGAGGAGCGGGGGGGCGGGGGGTCCATTGGATTGTTACCGGGGCGCGGGCTGATTCAGTGTGTTCCGCGTGACTCACGACCTTGGTAGGGCATGCTCAGACCTGCCTGTCTGCAGCGGGCTGATTCGTCCTGTTCCACGTGACTCCTCTTCTATCTCAATACACTTCACAACAAAGCTATGAAAATGATAACTGCCAGGTGTGTTGGCACACACCTGTAATCCTATCTGGGTCAGTCTGTGCTACTTCTTTCCCCAGAATATGTAGAGGGTGATGTGCTGTATGACTCCCAGAGTTGGCTCACCAAAGGTGTTTTGCCCAAGCCCTTACCTGGAGTTTCCCAAAAAGCAGGAGCAACAGAACTCCCACATAGGACCCCCAAGCTATCCCAAGATAGATCAGTTAAGATTCTAAAGAAAGAAGCACTGACCTCCAGGGTGGTCAGCCAAAGCATTTATTAGGTGAAATAACTGTGGGCTGCAGTGTGACCTCACCAATAGACAATGAAAGAAAAGAGATGTTCTTCTGCCTTGGCATGTCTGCAGCCAGGGTGTCCAGTTATGTTTTTCTGAGAGTTTAAGAAATTTGGGCTCAGGGCCAATGCTGATTTCTTTTATGTTTCATCCAACAACCTAAACCATCTAAATATCAGTGCTGCTTGGGAATCCACAGCTGGCTGGCCACAGAACAGTCAAAGCAGCCTATGATTTCCACTCAGGACAGAGAAGCACTGGAGGATGCTACCAAAGACCACAAAGGCTCTGTCCTGTTCACAGGAGGTCCCTGTGTTGCTATGGAGTTCTGCCTTCTGAGGCCATAGCATTGTGCGGAAGCCCAAAACTGTGAGAAGGTAATGTGGAGTTATAGCCATCCAGCACAGATGCTTTGCATCTGGAAGTGTAGAGAGGGTCCCACTACACCCTTTCTGAATTCCTAACCCATAGCACGCATCATGAGAATTAAAGTTCTGTTGTCTGATTCCCTACATTTGGAGGTGGCTTGTCATGCAACAGATAGCTAAAACAACCCATCTATAAAGTATTTAGAACCAGGCATGAGGATGCATACCTGTAATCCCAGCACTTCAGAGCCTGAGGCAGGAAGATCACTGCCAGATCAAAGCCAGCCTGCACTGCATAGTGAGACCCTGTCTCAAAAAGAAAAAAAAAAAGTATTTAAAAAGCAGACCTGGAGCTTCAGATAGCAGAAGTTGCCCTCACAGGGCTCCACTGCCTAGAAACCCAGTCACCCTTGAACTGCAACCAGCTTCTGTCCCCAGGGTGTCCTGAGCCTCCGTCCATCCACCCCGTTGCATCCCAGGAAAGGCTCTGAGGCAGGCACCTGAGCAGTTATCCCTCCACACACCCCTGTGACCACAGAGATGGGGCTCAGAGAACCAGTGTTTGAGATAGGCAGTTGTGAATTAGATGTTCATAGGTAAGCTCTAAGCAGATGAAGTAGCTCTAAGTAGGTGATAGAGTAAGTAGGAGTGAGTGAGGCAAGGGGATATTGTAGGGGAGGCTGCTGTGAGGTGTCTTAGTCAGCTCAGGCTCCCTAACAGAACTCTATAGACAGGAAGTGTCTTACCACTCTCCTGTCACTGGAACAACATAGCTGATACCTGAAACTTAAAGAAGGAGAGGTTTATTTTGACTCATGGTTTCAATCAGTGGTCAACTAGCTCCAAGACAGAAAGAGGGTGGCCAAGCAGCATGGCAGTGGAAAAGGTGCTCACCTGTGACAGCCAGGAAGCAGGGAGAGAAGGGAAGATCTAGGGACAAGAATACACTTTTGGGGGCCAGGGATATAGCTCAGTGGCACCACACCTGTCTTGTAAGTGCAAGGTCCTGAGTTTGATCCGTGGTACAAAAAAAAAAATACACTTTTCTAGGTCACACCTCCAGTGACCCACGTTCAACCAGGTCCCACCTCCTAACAGCACATTCAGCCAGGGAGCTCACCAATGAATGATTCATTTTAGATCTGAAGCACAACAGGGGCTTAAATCATACACACATTTCTCACAACTCTAGAGTCTGGAAATCCAAAATGAATGTGCTGGTAGATTCAGTTCCTGGCAAAGGCTCGCTTCCTGGTTTGCAGATGGCAAACCTTTTTGCCGTATGACATGACAGTGGAGAGAAAGAGAGACAGAGAGCAAAATAGAAAAACTGTATAAGGACAACAATTCTATAGGCTTTGGACTCCACCATTATGGCTTTATTTAACCTTAATTGCCTCCTAGGAGTCCTGTCTCCAAATACAGTCACATTCTGAGGTCCTAGGGGCTAAAGCCTATTATGGTTTGGAAATGGCTTGAGTGTGTCCCCCAAAGGTTCCCATGTTGGAAGCATGGTCCTCAGTGTGGAGATGTGGGAGGTGACAGCCTATAACAGATGGGGCCCAGTGAACTGTAATTAGGTGAGTGGAGGCACTGTAGGAATTCTTTTGGGATGCCAATTAGTTCCTAAGAGAGGTTATAAAAGAGTAAGACGGTATCCCCCCCACTCCTGTCTCACAATGTGAGACATCCTGCACATGCTCTCACATGATGGCTTGCTTGTTGTGATGTAGCCAGAAGACTCTTACCAGAGGCCAAACTGAGGAGGCTGTTGGTTTTGCACTTTCAACTTCCAAAACTGTGAGCTAGATAACTCTCCTAACTCCCTTTTTAGAGAGAGTTTCACTGTGTAGTTCAGGCTAGCTTTGAACTCACTATGAAGCCCAAGCCAGCCTTGAATTCACAGCAATCCTCCTGCATCAGTCTCCTGAGTGCTAGTGTCAGAGTCGAGTGGCTGAAGAGGGGTTCTTTCAGGTGAGAGTCTCAAAGAAAAGAAGGCACGTGGGGCAGATATTGGCACAAATAGCAGCAAAGCTTCTTTATTTTCCCAGCAGTTATAGTAGCCCATTATCACATATTTAGGCATACTGAAAAACAACTGTGTGACCTTGCAGGCCATGCTGCACATGCATGGTTGACTTATGGCTACATAAGTAAGCCTACCCTGCACCTGTTTTAACAATGGGGTTATGTCCTCCAGGACTCCTCAGACACCCAGGCTTTGACTGACATTTCTCGAAATGGCTCCCATATTCCATCCTCTCACACATTAGGAGGTTGCTGATTCTTGGGAGTAGTACACAGGGCTGCCCCTTATGCCCAGAGTCCACAACAGCAATACAGGGAATAACACATAACCACCAACCCCACAGCTATCGCAGTGCTGCTGAGAGCTACTAACACTAGGTGGATCCCAGGGATTCCCACCATTGGGTCAGGGGATCTTGTTGTGAGGCTTGGATGGCAGATACCTCTGTATCCATTTCTCAAAAGGCCTCTTGTACTTGTATCAGAGGGTCAAGAATAAAAATGCATCGTTCTACATGCAGGAGGACATAAGTGCCTTCCTATGCTGCAGTCAGCAAGTTGAGAGCCATATGGTTCTGTAACACCACCTTTCTCATATGGGACGCTTCATCCATGAGCAACATCAAAGACTGGTGCGTGATATTCAAGGCTTGTGTCATGTGTTGAGCCAGAGCTTCAACTTAGAGGGCTAAATTTATACTCCCTACCCTTGGTACCAGTACTACCATAGGACAGAACCACCAGGCCATCTGTTTAGCTTGGTGCAATCTGTGATACACAGCATCCCAATTGTAGGGTGTGTCTGTCAGAGTGGGCCTGATAATGCCCTTAATAGAGGGAAAATCCCAGGTGCAGCACCCCATCTAGTGCACGGGTAGGTATGGCCAACCCATAGTGCCATAAACCCATAAGGCATCCACAATGGGCCAATCAGTGGGCACTGTACCTATGAGCTTATGGCCATCCCACCAGGCATTTGTGTCATTCACCTGTAACATGTTACACAAGTTGAGTGGTATCCATCCTGCTGTGCGATTCCCCACTGATGCATTGACCTATTCAATACACAGTCGGGTAACATCTAACAACATTACTTGGTTCCCCATCACCCTCCCCCAGTCATTATACATCATAGGTCTGGTCCTCGTGGGGTGGTTGTTCTCTTTCAGATCAGTAATGCCTTGACAGCCTGGCATCGGTGATCCCAGGTGGGTCCAGTTCAGTTCTGTTGTCACCAGTCTGTCCAATTGAGCGGGGATGCTGGCACAATTCACAGAAGGCCCTGTGTCAGGAGTTCTGTGCACACCCAATAGTGTGAGTGCTGGTGCACATGAGCAAACATATGGGCCCAGGAGATGATGCCATTGGCTTGACTCATTCTGATTGGAAGGACAGGGCAGAAAGAGAAACCGTCATAGGGAAGTCTCGCCCTTTGGAGAGGATGCAGGCCATATGCTCATTCTGTGGTAGGGTGGTGGCTGGAATCATCCTACCTCCCAGTTTAAAGTAACAGACCTGAGTCCTTGTTGCCACCGGAGGCAAGGGCATTGGAGTCTATTACTCCCAGGAGAATAAGCCAAACAGTCACAATATCACTTCCCTTTAGGATGGTGGCCCTGGCATCAAGTAGGGAGCATACCAAGACCTTCAAGGGCCATGTTGAAATCCAGGGCTGCGCCTCTATGACATGGTGCAGTCCCTGCCCCCAGGGCTCCAAGAGGAACACCCAATTCCCCAGCAGGGGATCTGTGGGCCACTCCCAAGTCCATTGGTACCAGGTCCCCAGCCACATAGGCTCCAGTGCAGGTTAAGATTAAAGCCCCCTTTCCCACCTTAGGACCTTGCTCTGCTGGTCAGATGTGCAGCCAAATTGGCTGTGCTTTCTGAAGGCAATCCAGTGGGCTGTCACCCATATGCCAGGGCTGGTCATTGAGCAATTGAATAGCCCGTGATAAGGCCTATACCCATTCGATAAACTTTGAAGCCAAATAGGCCAGCTTAGTTTTCAAGAGTTTATTATACCTCTTAGTCATACCAGCAGCTTGTGGCAGGTAGGGCACATGAAAGTGCCAAGTAATGTCATTGTCTTTGGCCCACTGTTGCACCTGAACCCCTGTAAAATGGGTTCCTCCGTCAGTTGCTATCCCTACTGGTATCTCATATGCTACAGTCAACCATTGTAATGCCTCAATAGTATGGGCATGGTCAGCAGAGGGTACAGGGTAGGCAAAAACCTATATCTGTGGGGGTAACCACAGCAGTCAGAGCATACTTGTGTCCCTGTGAGAGAAGCAGGAGACCAATGTAATCTACCTGCGATTGCTGCAGGGGATAGGGTGCTTTTGGCATTTCATCCAATTGTATGGGCATCCTCTTCCTCCAAGGGGCCAGCTGAACACATTGAAGGCACACTTTTACCCCCGCTCCTGCCTCTGTAGGAGTCAAATCCAAGTGCTATTGCTGTGCTACAGCTTGCATGGTATGGGGCTTTACGTGTCCTAGTTTCTTATGAAGCCATGGTGCCACCGAGGGTAGCCCTTGAAGGGCTGCTACCCTTGTCAAGGTGTCTGCTAAATCATTCCTATGCCCTGACACATGATACACCACATGTGAAATAGTCTGGCCATGCTCCCACGAGTCTTGCCATAATTCAGCATCCCATAGGGGTCAATGTCCTATCTGCCAGTCCTGGGCTGCCCAGGTCAGTAATCAGAGCATCAGCCCTTGGAATATAGCCCAACTATCTGTGCAAATATGCAGAGGTTTGTCCTCATGTGTGACAAGTAGCCATACTGCCTGCAACTCTGCCCATTGGCTCGATTTGCCTGTTCCAGTTTCAAAGTGTACTGGGCTGGACAGCAACTGCTGTCCATTGCGGGGTTGTGCCTCAACTAGAGCCATCAGTATACCAGGCCTCAGCCAGGGGTCCCGCTTTCCCTTCTACATAGGGAGTAGGGATCATAACCTATAGTCCATCATTCTGTATGGTTTCTTGGGCCATATACATCATAGTTCCCAGAACCACTGCCAATTCAGCCACCAATGGACTGGATGAAAAGGAGGCTCTCTGCTGTAGATATGTTTCCCATCCTGCCAGGGTGAGGGCCTGGGCCACTCCACTCCTGGGATGAGACATCCATGTGCATACCAAGCCCTCTACTGGGTACGTAGTCTACACTTCCACAGTCTGCTTTCCTATGATTCCCTCACAGGCATGCAGTGGAGTACATACTGAAGCTAACTTCTTCTCAAACAGGGACTATCTGCTTTCAGCTCCTTTCCACAACTGTGACCAAAAGCCAGTAGTGTGCTTTCACTTCCCTTGCTTTTGCCATAAGCCCCAGCCAAACCCAACCTCATCTATCAGGCTCCTTTCTACATAATTTGGGGGAAAAATAATTTCACAATTAAATTATGGTTAGGGCTGTATGAGGCCTAGTCTTCTTGCCTGTGGGCCAGCTATGACATGCTGAAACATAACTCCATTTTACCTCCAGTCACAGCTGAGGCCTCAATGGTCCCGTGATGCCGTGATACTCAAGGGCAAGATTACATCAGCTGAAGGCATCTTGATTCTTTGAGAACTGAGTAATAATACAAAAAGAGAAAGGTTGCACCTGTGGAGGGAAAAATTCCTTATCAGCTTAACTCATCCCACCTACTGTTGTAAGAATGTTTTTGCTCATCTTACCACCCTAATCAACATAAACTCATCAACCTGAGATCCTTATCAGCATAAGATCCTTATCATCATAGGAATACTGCCACCCTTGGAGTCATCTGATACTGCCTCCAATTATAAGATCCTTGTCAGTTTATGATTATTGCTGCCCTCAGAGACATCTGATACTCTCTATAAACTCAATAAACAGTAGCAAGCTCAGAGTGCCTTTGTCTTTGCTATCTAGAGGAGCACTGATCAGGCCCAAGACTCAACCTTTTCTCTAAGTCTCATTTCCTGTCTTTATTCTCTAATTAGCCTTGCACTGTTGTGGCTCACAGGAGACCAGCACCCACTACAGGGGTTCTGGTAATGTCCCCTTTCCCATTCCCTGTACTCATCCACGTTCACAGTTAGAATAAAAGGCAGGGAAGGTCAACAATAAGGAGGGCTTGTACGTGTGTGACTGCCATTTTTGAATCCTGAAAAGTAGTGTCCACTACTTCAACCCAGTCTCATGTTGCACCCTTCTAGGTCATCTGGTATAATGGGTGAAGCAAGGTAGCTAGGTATAGTATGAAAGTCCACCAGAAACCTAGGTCACATAAGCTTGTAACTGGCATATAGTTGTAAATCTGAGGTATCCCTGGCTCTTATCAGTTATTTCATTGAGGATTACTTTTGTCTTACCTAACCAGATAACACCCAAGAATTTGAAAGACAAGCCAGGTCCCTGGACCTTGTTTTTGTTGATGGTCCACCCCTAGACCAGCAAAGCTTCTTTCAGACTACATGCAGCAGCTTCCAAATCTCTAAGGCAATCAGAGGTTGATCAATATAATGGAACAAAGACACAGAGTGTGGCTTGGTCCAGGTGGCCAGGTCCTGGGCCACCAGGCCATGACACAAAGTAGGGTTATGCAAATAGCCTTATGGCAACATTTGAAAGGTCCATTGCTGCCTTCCCAGCTGAAGGCAAATTGGTCTTGACTATCAGGCAAGACAGCAATGGAGAACAAAGCAATGGCCAAGTCCACTACATAATGGTATCAACCCAGTGTCAGGGTGAGCTGGTCCATCAAGTCTGCAATATTGGGTACCTCTGCATGCAATGGAGGAGTTACTTTTTTCGGTTCCCAATAGTCTGGGTTCTACATGGGCCAAATCAGTGAATGGAAAGGACTCTGGGTAGGGCTTATCACTCCAGGATCTTCCAATTTCAAAACAGTCTTTCCTATTTCCTCATGACCCCCAGGCAGCCAGCACTGCTTCATACACACAACCCACATTGCCTGCAGGACTTAACTGTGCTTGGTGAGGATGTCCTTGGATAATGGAATTCTCCCTGCATAGTGTTCAACCAGGCACCAGTCAGTATGTCCACCTCCAGGATATATTCAGCAACTGGGGAAACAGACATCAATCATATGGGCATGGGGCCAAATGCCTGATAGCCAAGGTCACCTTGATCTTCCAGACCATAATATAGTGGCCTCTATACTCTCCTATGCATGCAGTAGGTTGTGTGAAATTGTCTGGGTGGCTATAAATTAGTGTTGACTCGACTCCAGTATCTACCAGCACCAGCATATGCTGCACATTTTGGGGGGACGAATAAATAGTTAATTCCACATGTAGCCTCCAGTCTCCTGGGGTCCCTAGCAACCAGGCACCTTGGCCTATCTCCTAGTCTGGATAAAAAACTGCCAGCATCATCTCATCCTGTTTCACTGGGGCTGCCATGACCTTTGGGCCCATCAGCCAGTATTGCTGGTGAGGATGCAATTGCTTCCACAGAGACAACATGTCTAAGGGATGCCCATCTAGCTTATCAGCTGCTAAGGTCTGCCCATATTTGGCACTGGCTCACCTTCAATGCACCGAGTGTCTGTCCCTGTGGGGTTGTCCCCAGCAACCCATCTGAGTCCTCTCCTGTCTCTCTCAGGATCTAAAATCTCCCTCTCTCTCTCTCTCTCTCTCTCTCTCTCTCTCTCTCTCTCCTACTCTCTTCCTTCGCTGTTTTGGTTTTGGTTTTTCTTTTATGTATATCCTTTTATTGGTACATTTTAGGTGTACAATACAATGACATTCATCATTGGAGATATGCACCTTTACATAGTCTCTCTTGGTTCTTATTTATTCCCCCTTCCCCTGCCCTCTCTTCAAACCCTCCATCCCTCCCTATTTACAAAGATTTTGTTTCCATTGTTTCATTTTCCCATATTAATCCCATTCCCTTCTTTCCTTTCCCCTAGCCCTCCCACTTCCCCCTCCCCTTTGCCCCAGTAACTAAGTCTTGACAGGTCTCATCTTACCCTGGTGTTTCACCTCTATGTCAGTCAATCATGGCTACAGTACTTGGCAGCAAACACCATCTGGGACATTTCTCAGAGCACACCTACTAAGTCCAGGTAGGTTGTCCATTTAATGACTTGCTCAGGCTTTCCCAAACCAGATGGGGTGCTGACATCAGCCAATTTATCAAGGTCTGGTCACCTGTCCCACAGGCCAGTCTCTGTGCACCTTGTAAAACTCAACACGTAGAGGAGGTGCTGGCTATGCTGGCTAACTGGAACATCCCTTATGGGTTTAACTCCATCTTGTCAGCCCCCTTGTACCACAGCTGTAACAGCCATGCAGGCACAGTCTCACATAGCAGAAGAGAATATAAAACAACCAAGCTGCTTACCCCACTGATTCATGGTGGGGGAAAGGAATCTGTGTTTCCAATGTTTCCAAAGCCTGTAAAACATCTCCATGTGTCAGACAAACCACCTCCCAGTCTTCTGGAGATTTTCAAGCTGCCAAGAAGGTAGCTACCAGCATCTCGAATGAGGCTGAGGGACTCATATCAGCAGCTCCCCTGGGTTCTACTTCGCTATAGGGTGCTGCTTACACAGACACCACAGGAACACTCACCTCTGCCAACTACACCAAGTGTTGAGGTCTAGTGGCTGAAGTGGGTTTCTTTCAGGTGAGTCTCCAAGAAAAGAAGGCATGTGGGGCAGACATTGGCACAAACAGCAGCAAAGCTTCTTTATTTTCCCAGCAGTTATAGTAGTCCATTATCACATAATAAGGCATACTGAAAAGCAACAACTGTGTGACCTTGCAGGCCATGCTGCACATGCATGGTTAACTTATGGTTACATAAGTAAGCCTGTCCTGCACCTGTGCTAATGATGAGGTCATGTCCTCCAGGACTCCTCAGACACCCAGGCTTTGACTGACATATCTCACAACAGCTCCCACAGCTGGATTACAGTACCTAGCCTCAGATATTTTGTTATAGCAACAGAGGGCTGACTAATACAGGACTTCAATATATGAATTTGAGGGTGGGAACAATTTGGCCCATTAAACCCTGTTTTCTGGTTTGGACAGGGACCATGAAATGAAGTACGGCTCATCTGGCCTCATCTGTGCTCCACCATGACCATCCTTCTCCAGCCTGAAAGAGACTAGCTACCGAGAAGCAAATTCCCAAGAAGGAGTTAGAGATCAGAGAGAAGGGTGTTTTGAGATAAAGACACTGTAGGGGAGGACATCGCTCTATATCCCCACACTTGAAGGGGTTGAAAAGGGAGAGGCTGTAGAGGCTACCAAGGCTCAGGGGACTGGGCTAGGATTGCATGTGTTCTGACTTTGGGAGGAAGCAGATGGAAGCTGTTTTGTTATTTATTTTTTGTGGTGCTAAGGATGGAATCCAGAGCCTTGCATGTGCTAAGCAAGCACACTACCACTGAGCCCCATGATGGAAGTTACTTTACATCTTGTCCTGCTCTACAGGAGGGCTGGAGAGACAAGGGAGCCTAACAGGAGGATGGACCACCAAACTCCTTGGGGTAGAAAGAGGTATGGGCAGGACCACAGGAAGTAGAATCAAGGGGCCCCACAGCTGGAACCTAGACAGACAGCCCAGAGGTGGCCATGTAATCCTATCCAGACAGGTCTTGCGCATCTATGCTCACAGCAGTGCCATTTGTTTTACCCAGAGGTGGGACAACCCAAGAGTCTATCAGCAGATGGATAAATTAACACACTGTGGCACATCCACGTGATGTGATGCTACTCAGCCAGAGGAAGGAGTGGAGTTCTTGTCCACACTGCAATGTGGGTGAACCTGGAGAGCATTATTTGTCACTGTGTGTAAAAGCCAGACAGTGAAGGAAAAAAGATTATATGGCTCATTTATAGGAAATCTCCAGAATAGGCAAATTCACAGAGTAGATTAGTGGTTTCCAGGGGATGGGAGGAGAGGGACTGAGGAGCTCATGGGAATGGAGCTTCTTTGGGGGATGGTTAAAATATTTTGAAACTAGCTAGAGGTAATGGTTGCACAATGTTGTGAACATGCTAATGAACTATATTCTTCAAAACTAGTTTTATGTTACATAAATTTTATCTCAATTAAAAAGTGACCACCATAAATACAATTATTCTGTGTCAGTGAAAAAGAAACACATTAAATAAACAAATGAAACAAATAAACACATTAAACAAATGAAAAATGATCATAAAGGCAAAACCTGACTTTAAACCTCTGCCAAAGGAAACCACTCTGGGCTCACCTGGCTGTCACTTAACTGGAATTCTTGGTCTTCTAGCTGCAGCCCCAGCCATGTACACTTCAACAATAGGGGATGGAGAATCATGAACTAGCATCTCATCAACTCATTCACTTCAACAAGCCACATGCCAGGGGCCCTGCCATGAGGGGACACAGAGAAGAGAAAGGTTTATTTTGGCTCATGAGTTCAGAGGCTTCAGTCTATGATTGCTTGGCTCTGTTGCTTTGGGCCTGTGGTAACACAGTAAAGCATGGTGGTAGCACATGGCAGAGGAGACCTGCTCACCTCATCATGGCCAGAAAGCAGAAGGAGGATGGAGCCATAGTCCCAATATCCCTTCAAAGACCTGCCCCCAAGTACCTAAATTCCTCCCTCTAGGGCCCACCTCTTAAAGACTCCACTACTTCCCAGCAACATCTCAGGCTGGGGACCACGCCTATAGCACATGGGCCTTTCGGGGACTTTCCAAATCCAAGCCAAAACAGCCATTCAGATCCAGATGAAAACAACACTGAGATTCCACCTCACCCCACAAAGAATCTGCTATCAAGAAATCAACCAATAACAAATGCTGGTGGGGGTGTGGAGAGAAAGGAACCCTTCTCCATTGTTGGTGGGAGTGCAGACTGGTGCAACCACCGTGGAAATCAGTGTGGAGATACCTCAAAGAACTAGGACTAGAGGTCCCATTTGATCCAGGTATTCCCCTACTGGGTATCTTCCCCAAAGAATTAAAAGAATCATACCACAGTGATATATGTGCACCTATGTTTATAGCGGCACAGTTTGTAATAGCTAAAGTTTGGAAACAGCCCAGGTGCCCATCAACTGGAAACTGGATAAAGGTTTTTTTATAAAATGGAGTACTACTCAGCCATAAAGAACGAGAAACTAGAGTCATTTATAGCTAAATGGATGCATATTGAGGCCATCCTCTTAAGTGAAATAAATAGGACACACGTGTAGATACCGAATAGTTTCTCTAGTGTGAGAAACTGAAAGTGTAAATAAGGATGAAAATGATTAAAATGAATAATTGATAATTTGAAATAGGAAAAGGTCCAAAGGTGTAGGAGTGGTGGGAGGGAAAGGGGAAAGGGAAGAAGGGAAAGGAAAAATTATGAGAAAGAAAAAAAATGGAAACAAAATCTATGTAAATAGGGAAGGGGGGAGGAGATGAAGGGCGCATAGGTAATGAGGGAAAAAATAAGAACCAAGATACATCATGTTCAGGTACAAACACCCAATAATAAATGTAAATGTATTGTAGACCTAAAATGTACCAATTAATATATGAATTTAAAAAACAGCCATTCAGCCCACTATGAAGTGACAGGATAGGCAGATCAGCAGCTCAAACTTATGGGGAGACAGTGTAGCCATTGGTGCTGTCCTTGTCCCTATGGAGACATTCAGGCAGCTGTTTCAGGGCAGGGAGTTTCAGCCCAGTGACTGGGGCTGTGGACCTTAAATGCTGGACTGGAGAGTGGCTGAGGTTTGGAAGTTACATGGGCCTTCGAGCCTCCAAATGTCAGCTGGACCCTTTCTGTCTCACATCACTGTCTCTTTCCATAGTCTGAATGGTTGAGTCACCATCTGGTACAAGGGGGTAAATTCACTACCTCAGCCAGCTCTTGTATGGGGGTCACCTCAGACCCAAAGTTCCTTGCCCCCATCACTCTGGAGGTTTCCCTGCAAGCCCAGGTTGGCCAGGACTCAGAGTTGTGCTGACATTGCACAGTTTTTAACTGACCCCAGCAGCCTGAGACAGGAGCTGGTCATCAGAGGCCACTTCAAGCTTGTTTACCTGTGAGAGGCTGGACACCTGGCCTACACCCTGCTTTCTTCCTGTTGTCCATCACCTTCTGGATCTAATACATGAAGGAGTGTGAGCCAAGAGTCCTGAGCTAAGGTTCAAACACCAGAGTTTCTATTTCACCTTCCCTTAAGTAGCCTGTCACCCACTCTAATACCTCAAGGCCTTGATATTTCTCCTCTAAAAAGTTGAATATGGCCAGGTGTGGTGGTGCATACCTGTAATCCCATAACTCTGAAGCTGAGGCAGAAAGATTGTCATGAGTTTGAGGCTAGCCTGGGCTATATAGTCAGCTCAAAGATAGCTTGTACTACAAAATGAGACCATGTCTCAAAAATAAATAAATAAAACTAAAATAAAATAAATAAAAAGTTGAATTATGGGAAGTTCCTTCAAGCTTGGTTCTACATTCAAAGGACTGTAGTAGGAGGAGAGATTTAAAGAGAAAGGTAGGCGATAGCAGACTTAGGATGTATGGTGGATGGGGGTGGAGGAAGACTAAGGAGGGGACAGAAGTCTGGGGAGACCCAATCAGATGCTGCTATCTAGACAAGGCCGTGTCTCACCAATTGGGTATCCCCCCTCATTCCAGCCAACTCTCTCATCTATCTATTCCAGAGTGTCTGATGGAACTCCTCCCCTGAGTGTACTCATTCTGGGGCCAGATCAGTCCCATAGTGTGAGTCACAGGATGGGGGGACACATTAGAAAACAGAACTGTGGCTTCACTCCAGAGAATCAAAATGGGTAGTTCTGGGAAGTTTAACATGTATTTAAATTAAATCAGTGTGGTTCCCTTCATACATTCACCAGCCATCTTCCTTTCCACCAAAGTTCATGAGGACCTGCTGGGACTGTCTATGCAATCAGTCCTGAGAGCTGAGCTTCTCAAAAACAGTGGGCACTTTGTGAGTGGCACCTGGCCCCTCCCTTCTGTCTGAGTGTTCCCAGCTGTCATCCACCCTCACCCCATCCTCACTGCTCCTCATCCTTGCTCCCTGGTGGTGCTTCCCATGGGAAGCAAAGAGGGTCCTGTTTTCTGGGTTTGGGTATTAGTGCTGCCATTTGTCACTCCGTCTGCTGCAAGTGAGGGGTCATGTCACAGCTGCCACCCTGCCACTTGCCCAGCTGAACCTCAGCAGGACATCTTCCCTACAGGGCCATTTCTGGAAGCCTGCTGTACATATACAACATACTGCCATAGAGAAGGTTGGATTTCCTGGCCTGAGGCTGGCCTTAGCATCTCTGGTCTTGGAGCTGCAGACCCAGGAAATCCTGACTGTTGGTTTTAGGATTAGCACTAACAGGGAGTAGATGATGTAGGCTCTGGCCCCAGTGAAGTCATAAGTTGTCAGTCTCTGTCCCTGTGCATCTCCCTTCTTTCAGAAATGAAACCAGGTCAGGTATGGTGGTGCACGTCTGTAATCCCAGCATTTGGGAGGCTGAGGCAGGAGGATTTTTGTAAGTTTGAGGGCAGCCTGGGCTATATAGTGAGTTTGAGGACAGTCTGAACTACATACATCCTGAGGCCCTGTTTCAAAATTAATAAATAAATGAAAGAGAGAAAGAAAAAAGAAAGAAAGAAGGAAAGAAAGAAAGAAAAAAAGAAAGAAAGAAAGAAAGAAAGAAAGAAAGAAAGAAAGAAAGAAAGAAAGAAAGAAAGAAAGAAAAGTGAACCCAGACCTGGACCTAACAATCTAATATACTACTTGCCAGATCCTTAGTCCACTTTGTGTGTGTCTGCATCTGTGTGTCTGTGTTTATGTGTACTACTGGGATTGCACACAGGGCTATATTTCTAGGCTTGAACACACTGAGCTACATCTCTGGAGAAGTGGCTTTCCCTCTCTCAGTCAAAGCTGCAAATACAGGTTTCTGGAACCTAAGGCAGATACGTCTGTTGCTCATGACCACCTAGAATCCTCTTAGATAGACTCCAGGGAGCCCTGGGATACCCAGGACATGTTCAAGCACCTGAAGAGGAGGCTGGGGTGAGTTCTGGCTCTGGCACCAAGCCAGCTAGGGGACTTTATTATTTACATATTTTTTTAAATTCACTGGGGTTGGGGTTGTGGCTCAGTGGTAATGTACTTGCCTAACATATATGGAGCCCTGTGTTCCATCCCCAGTACCAAAGTGTGTGTGTGGGGGGGGGGGGGGTCCAGCATTATAGACAGCTAAGTTGGGTAGAAATAGGCAGTCAGACAGGGCTAGGTCCTTGAGTAAGTCAGCACATAGGATGAAAACACATTATAACAGTGACTGGAGGTGCATCTGTTGAAGGTTAGGCCTCAAGATAAAGATGAAATGACCAGGCCTATATACTTCTCTTGGGGATAAGATAATTAGCATTACCTGGTTCAACAAAGTCTAAATATGATGTTACCCTGGTGGATGACCAAGGCCCCCTGATCCATCCCTTCCTAAAGGCCTTTGTTCTTTCCATGTACAGTTGCTATGTGACCTGCTTCCCCACTGGATCAATATTACCTAAACAGCTATACTTATAATCTTATTGGTTGATCATAGTTTTGATCCACATTGTACCCACTTTGTGATTTTGCACTATAAAACTTTCTTTGAGAAGTGAGCTTGTTGGCAGCCCACTTTTGAGTCCCCTCTTGTCTCTCAGGAGCTATCTTTCTCAATAAATATTTCCTATTCTTAACCTCTGTTGTTTCTTGGAATTCATTCATCAATTTTGGGGAACATGAACTTGATGTATCTGACATCTAGCAGGTTGTGCATTACATTTATTTCCCTTATATCACCAACATGGTGATGCAAGCCTGTAGGTGATAGGACTCTGAGAGGCTGAAGCAGGAGGATCAAGAGTTCTAGTCTGGCCTGAACAATTTAGTGACTTAATGATAGTCTGTCTCAAAAAAGGGGAGAGAGGTTGGGGAAGCAAAGGTTTAAACCACAGCAAACTCCAAAGAGCCCTAAATAAAGTTGAAACCATTTTTAAGCAACAAATTTCAGGTCAAACCTTCCCTGTTCTAGGGCTGAAAGCCTCATCCTTGCAACAAGGGTCAAAGGAGGGAGCTGTCTAGCTCCACTAGCAACTCTGGAGATGTCCTCACAGGTGAGTGTCAGCAAGTTAGGACAGAGACCTGGGGATAAGGAAGTAGAAAGACAAAGCTACTAGATAAGGATTTTAGCAAAGAAGCTGGGTGTGGTCGTGGGGAACTTGTTGGAAGGAAAACTCTGCATTATACAAGGCACAGCATGGCCAAGAAAACCTAAGTCAGTGATTGGGGTGCCAGTTTGGACCCCACGTGGATGTGGGCAGGAGAGCTGAGAAATGTGGTGCCTTTCTC